GGTCACGTGATGTAGAAGAGAAGCTGTCTTGATAGGTCACATAATGTTTCAGCTTGAGTGTTGCAGGTCACGTGATGTAGAAGAGAAGCTGTCTTGATATGTCACATGACGTTGTAGGTTCAAACATAGGACCTTTGCGGGGGGGGGGCATTGTTCCCGTTGACCGCTGTGTATACTGTGTGTGTGTGGGCAGCGGTGCACTCTGGGTAGTGTACAGTGGCCCCCCCCCCCTCTTCAAGCAGACGTGTACATATTGACCAAGCGGGGAAAATAGTGATAATATTGTCTTCCTTGTTGTTGAGAGACTTGACACTGCTCCACACACACACACACACATTATTCCTTTTTGTGTAGCTAATTATCGGGAGGTTCTTTTATTTACTGATGGAGTTAATGTGTGAAGGTACTCGGCAGGTATGGGCAGGGGCGTGAGGGTTTGGGGTGGAAGGGCGGGGGTAAGGGTTGGGGGAGAGGTGAGGGTTTGGAGGGCGGGTGTGAAGGTAATCAAGGGGCGGGGGATTCTTCCATTTTGACAGTATTGAGTCGTGGTGGTGGTACAGTGTTGTGTGGTAGCCCTGTACACTGACACACCAGAGAGAGAGGGAGAGAGGTGGGGGGGGGAAGAGGAAAATGAACAGTATTTTTATAGGAGTGTATGAAAGAGGAACGCCCTTGTCTTAACAATTTACAGCTCACCAAACCTTTTTTTTGAGTGAGTGGCGCAGTTGTATAAAGAAAGTGGGTAAAAATAGTAAGATTTTGTTTTACCAGTTCACAGTTGGACAAACTTTGGAGTGTGTTTACACATATATAACAGTGTGTAGTGCAGTGTGTGGGTATCTGCATAAGCTTTATCTTGAGGGTTGGTACAGTGAGGTGAGTGGACTGTCTTCCCTGGTACAGTTGACCCTGAGAGAGAGAGAGAGAGAGAGAGATTCAAATGTCGTTCGCCAGGGTTCACAGCTGACCTATAGTGTTACCCTTAATAGTTTCTTTTGCTTTTTATACATTCATCAACAAAAGATGTTGTCAGGACCTTTAGGAGCAAGAAGCCGAGCCTTGTGTGGTGTGACACTGAGCCTTGTGTGGTGTGACTCTGAGCCTTGTGTGGTGTGACTCTGAGCCTTGTGTGGTGTGACTCTGAGCCTTGTGTGGTGTGACTCTGAGCCTTGTGTGATGTGACTGAACCTTGTGTGGTGTGACTCTGAGCCTTGTGTGGTGTGACTCTGAACCTTGTGTGGTGTCCTGGTATATCCTCCCCCCCTCTACCAGCTTTGAACTTTACGCATGATGTAAGCTTTTGTCCGGGAGGTGACCGATACCAGCAGGTGTAGTTCTCACAGCTCACCCACACTAACTGTTTCTCGTCTCTTATGTCTCGTCGTCTGGTTCACCAATTATAAGGTGTTATTTAATTTGACCTTGACCCCAGGGACCGTCTCTTGTTCCAGCCGCCCGGTCCTGTCATCCCGGGTGAATTGTTCCTGTGTGTGTGTGTGTGTGTGTGTGTGTGTGTGTCATCTTTTATAAATTATCTTTTCGTCTGTTCATCGTCTTCCATGTCTCTTTACTCTTTCATTATATATACTGTACAGCATTAGTTGGTTCTTTACACGGTAAATATAGGACAACACTGCTCTTGTAAGCAGTGATGGTCTTGTACAGTTGAGGTATCCATTGTTATGCCACCCTCAGCATTGTGTATGTGGGTGGCATAGCCTTTAGCATGTCTGTGTGTCAGTCTGCCTGTCACGCCGTGGCTTCCGTGTGACGGTATAATGTTTTACAAACATTTGTTTAGTCATATTTGTTTTGTTGTGCACCTCCCGCTACATGACACAACTGTAGTGTTCAGAGGGAGAAAGGCGCTGCTGTGGAAGGGGGGCAGAACAGTTGTTTAGGTGAGAACAGCTGCTGTGACAGACGCTGTTTCTTCAGAAAGAACAGCCACTTTTGTTAATATATGTTGCAATAATTGTAGGAAGATCAACAATTTAGTGAAAACAGTTGTTGTTATTATTGTTGACCATTAATAACAAGCTGCAACACCCCCTTACTGCGTAGAAGGAACAGCAGATACAGTGTCATGGAGGAGCAACAAACTTTACAGGGGACTTTGGTAAGTTTCTCCTCCCTCAAGTGTGACGGGCAGCAGGTGAAGACGGCGTACGGGAGGGAGAGAGACGCTGATGTAAAGAGCACGAAGGTAAACACCGAGTATGGGGGGGTCGTCAACCTGCAGGAGCGGAGAGTATAGTCACCTGTGGGATTTTTGGTCTCTGACGGTGAACTGGTGTCAGGGTAGGTAGGTGGGAACCAGCCAACACACACCAGAACCGGGCTGGAGTTTCTCAGAATATCACCTCTTATGAACAGAAACCATGTACCAACCTCACCTGTACTGCACCAAGGGTCTCCACCTCCTGTAGAAGGGCTTGACCAGAAGACCACCACCAACAACATGTAGACGCGTCTGGAGTACTCGGGACTGAACACCTTGACGCCACACGTAATATAATTTAACGTATGGGAACTACTCGTAAACTCTGGTCCTAATGCTCTTATAGGGGCCTTACAGGTGAGAGAACCGCCGCAGTGGACAATATAGGAGGAGGTTGAGGTGTGAAGGTACTTATTAGGAATGAGTGTTTACATCGGTGAGGAGAAGAGTGTATAGGTCTTTGAGTACGATGGTATTATGGTCGAGGTAGTTATGGTCATTGTACTCAAGGGGTTATGATAATTGTACTCAAGGGGTTGTGTTCATTGTACTCAAAGGGTTTCAGTTATCGTACTCAAGGGGCTAAAATGTTACTAATATACCTGGTGATATGAGTAGCTACCTTTTGGCTGCCTCGATGTTACTAGTACTCCTGGTAAACTAGTCATGGCCACGTTACCTTGTGGGTGATTGGTGGTAACAAGAGCAGCCGTGGCCAGGTAACAACCACACACACACACACACACACACACCAGGTAGATAACAAGGTATATGGCGAGACCAGAGGCTTATAGGGTGAAGGACTTCCAGGAAACCAAGATGGCGGTACCTGATCGTGCCTGGTGCCGTGTTTGACCAAGAGAGAGAAAGGAGGGGAGGGGGGACGGCTACCCCCTCACACCACCCCACCCCACCTCTCCCCCCTTCCTCCCCCCTATTTCTTCCTTCTCTCCATCCACGCTCAAAACAAAGTATTCCAGAGAGAGAGAGAGAGAGAGAGAGAGAGAGAGAGAGAGAGAGAGAGAGAGAGAGAGAGAGAGAGAGAATCATGTTGAAGAAGGTAAAAGACAGCTTGAAAATTTTACCTTCATTGTTTATTTCCTGAAAATTGAAGACATTTTGTTATTATCTCTACTTTTTTTTCTATCTATCTATCTATCTATTTGCTCAATTTAACTTACGTTTATATGTACTGATTATAAAGGAGAAGCCAGAAACCAGTCGAGATATTAATAGGAGTCGTTTGGTGAGGAAGATGGAGGAGGCGGACTACCCTGACCTGACCTGGTGATGGTGTGTGTGTGTGTGTGGTGAGGATGGTGTGTGGTGGTAGTGGTGATAGTGCAGGTGAAGGAAACGGGGACAAAGTTGAAAGTGTTTCCCTCCCACCACCATCACCACTACCACCACCATCACCACTACCACCACCACCACCGCCACCACCACCACTACCAGCACCACCACCACCATTACCAGCACCTCCTCCTCCTCCTCCTCCTCCTCCTCCACCAAGATGTCAAGGCTAAAATTATTCATTGACTTGAACTTACAATTTCACCCCCAAACTGATTATATTGTTATCGACGTAAAGGTCAGCGGCACCAGGTTGTGAAATTTCTATTACCTTAAAATGGATTTCTTCTCAAGTTATGAAATTGAAGAAACTCGGCAGCGTGAGTATTAGTGCCTCGTATCTTAAGGTGTAAATATTCAAGGCCAAAATTTCCCCAAGTTTTTGTTAAATTTTCCTCTTAACTGTGAATAATAATAACAATAATAATAACAAACTACTACTACTACTACTACTGTACTACTACTACTACTACTACTACTACTACTACTACTAATAATAATAATAATAATAATAAAACCCAAGAATTAACTGAGAATTCTATGTTAAATTTCCCTTTTAACTTGAGATACAAAAGGTAATCCATCTCTGGCTGGGTTTAATTACAGTGGGTCGAGTATGTTCAATAAAATACAATATGGAGATTACTAACGGATAAACAAGGTGAAGGTAGAGAGAGAGAGAGAGAGAGTTTCCCCCGTGTTACCTGTGGTGTTTACCTGTGTGAATATAACCAGGTAAACCAAGTACTGTAAAGGTGGCGAGAACAGGTGAGATGGCGTGATGAGAATAGGTTAGGTTAGGTTATTGCTGGTTAATGTTTGTTTGGTTAGATTAAGGTTATGTTTGGTTAGGGTAAGGTTATGTTTGGTTAGATTAAGGTTATGTTTGGTTAGAGTAAGGTTATGTTTGGTTAGATTAAGGTTATGTTTGGTTAGAGTAAGGTTATGTTTGGTTAGGGTAAGGTTATGTTTGGTTAGATTAAGGTTATGTTTGGTTAGATTAAGGTTATGTTTGGTTAGATTAAGGTTATGTTTGGTTAGAGTAAGGTTATGTTTGGTTAGAGTAAGGTTATGTTTGGTTAGGTTTGGTTATGTTTGGTTGGTGATGTTAGGTTATAGGGCAGGTTAGGTTAGTGTTGCCATTGTTTGTGACATGTACACACACAATCACATAATGTACACACACAATCACATAATGCACACACAGAGTCACATAATGTACACACAGAATCACATAATGCACACACACAATCACATAATGCACACACACAATCATATAATGTACACACAGAATCACATAATGTACACACAGAATCATATAGTACACACACACAATCATATAATGCACACACAGAATCATATAATGTACACACAGAATCACATAATGCACACACAGAATCATATAGTACACACACACAATCATATAATGTACACACAGAATCCACCAGACCTCAGAAGACCACACTGCACCACCAGACCTCAGAAGACCACACGGCACCACCAGACCTCAAAAGACCACACGGCACCACCAGACCTCAAAAGACCACACGGCACCACCAGACCTCCTCAAAAGACCACACGGCACCACCAGACCTCAAAAGACCACACGGCACCACCAGACCTCAAAAGACCACACGGCACCACTCAGACCCCTAGAAGACCACACGGCACCACCAGACCTCAGAAGACCACAGCTGGCACCACTCAGACCAGAAGATCATTAACGGCACCACCAGACCTCAGAAGACCACACGGCACCACTCAGACCCCCAGAAGACCACACGGCACCACCAGACCTCAGGAAGACCACACTGCACCACTCAGACCCTCAGAAGACCACACTGCACCACCAGACCTCAGAAGACCACACACGGCACCACCAGACCTCAGAAGACCACACGGCACCACTCAGACCTCAGAAGACCACACGGCACCACCAGACCCTCAGGAAGACCACACGGCACCACCAGACCTCAGAAGACCACACTGCACCACCAGACCTCAGAAGACCACTTGTTCACCAGACCTCAGAAGACCACACTGCACCACCAGACCTCAGAAGACCACACGGCACCACCAGACCTCAGAAGACCACACGGCACCACCAGACCTCAGAAGACCACACGGCACCACCAGACCTCAGAAGACCGCCATTATCAGGGATTTATTTATTTAATTTCCTCCCTGAATGTAAGGACTGGTAGCCATTTTCCCCAGATTTGTATTTCATATTAGCCGGAATTTTGGTGTGTACTCGCCAACATTGTACTGTACTCACGGGGATTGTCATCGTACTCAAAAGGGTTTATCTTCGTATTCAAGGGATTTAGCTGTATAGAAATAAGAACGACTCGGACCATCTAACTGAAGCCACGACACAACACGACTGCCAGATTGAGGTCGTTATTAGTTATTACACAAACATTTCAGTTTTACGTTTTCTTGTCTTCAGCTCCGGAGGAAAAACATTAATAATCTCTCTCTCTCTCTCTCTCTCTCTCTCTCTCTCTCTCTCTCTCTCTCTCTCTCTCTCTCTCTCTAACCTGCGTCTCAGTCTACACTCCATGGCTGGTAAACATGTAGTCCAACTAGCGATGACACTCCAGTTACTGCCTGGGAAAAAGCAAACTCGTCTAAGTGCCGTATGTATGTCTGAACTTTGTCTTGATATGCTTGCTGGCTGTAAACGTCTGGGTAATTATTATTATACGTCTGGCGAAAGCAAATTGGTGTTCGTTTAAGTAACTTCAATTCTAATATGTCAACTGAACACGAGTCGAACGATATCTTCATTAATATTTCTTATGTTCAGAACCGGAATTTGAAAGCAGGAATGTCTGGTCACAAGTTTGTTGATTAAATTTCTAGATATATGTTGTTAGTGACCTGGCAGTTATCCAAGCTAGGTCAAAGCCCTTGTGAATCTTTTTTTTTGTCTTATTTTTGGAGGTTGTAGATTGTTAAGAGGTATTTTGAAGGTGATTTTAAGGATGTGGGAAGGGGAGGGGGAGGGTCGGAATTATTATTGGTATTGTGAAGGGAAGGGGTGAAGGAGGAGGGACCTATGAACTCTCTCTCTCTCTCTCTCTCTCTCTCTCTCTCTCTCTCTCTCTCATCCTGTTCCTGGCGTAAATATTCTGCTATTGGAAGGGAAGGAATGTTAAAGGTACAGGTAGAGAGACAGGTAGACAGAATTAATTAGAAATCATGTGAAGAGACGGACAGGTAGAAGAAAAGAAGAGAGACAAGAAGGAAGGGTGGAAGAATAATAATAGAGACAAAAAAGAAGATAATGGAAGAAAAGTAAGAATGAAAGACGTCAACAACAGTAAAGACAACCTGAATTACCAAAACAAACGACCCACGCAAGATGATGATGATGATGATGACAGCTAATAGAGGAGGAGTACCTTAGGACTCTCACACAAACTTACCCCCTCTCTTGTTTTTACTCACTGGGGACGTAACACACACACACACACCTACCTCTTTTATGGACAATTACTCTTCTTTTTTTTTTTAACTACCCTATAACGAGACCTTTTTTTATTTGGTATTAATAAAAGAAATGTTGGTTGCGATTTGTTGGCGGAAAGGAATGGTTGAGGTACAAGGTGTTTACTAGGGACTGGCAGAACTAGGGCTTACTGGGACTAAGGACTGACAGAACTAGGGTTTATTAGGACTAGGGACTGACAGAACTAGGGTTTATTAAGACTAGGAACTGTCAGAACTAGGGCTTAGTAGATCAGGGGCCTGCTAGGATTAGGGCCCATTTGGTTAAGTTCAGTCCCCCGGTGGTGAGTGTGTGTGTGTGTGTGTGTGTGTGTCTGTGTGTGTGTCTGTCTGTGTCTGTCTGTGTGTGTGTCTGTGTCTGGTGCTCGACTTATACGCGAGATAATGATGTTCCTGGTATTGGTTTTTCGGCTGGGCCAGGTCTGTCTTTCTTTCTTTCTTTTTCTTTGTTTCTTCCATTATATTCTTCCTTCCTTCCATTTCATCTCCTTCATTCCTCCTTTCTTCCTCTTGTTTTCCCTTCCCATCCGCAGCTCTCCACCTCCTTTCCCTTCTTCCTTCCATCCATCCTTCCTTCCTTCCTTCCTTCCTTCCTTCCTTCCTTCCTTCCTTCCTTCCCACCACCATGATTACTTCTTACACACAGATGAATATATATTTTTTTGTCTCTTTCGTGTGATATATGTAGCGTGTGAGACGAGGTGTGAAAACTAACTCTTTCTCTCTCTGTTTTTTTTATTGTATAGGCCTAAGTATTTAAAATTACACATACAAGAATTATTAACCTACCATGTATTTATGTTTTCGTCCAATGTGTTTAAGGCTTTTTAAAATTACAAGTATTGAAATGTTCTAAAATAAAATATAGTTGACTGTTTTTTCTGATTTTTTTTTACTTACGCCTAAACCGTTGAGCATTATAAAAACACGGACAAAAATATTCTAGTTTTTCCATAGGCCTAAACTAGTGATTTTTTATATACACTCAAATACACACCATACTACTACTACTACTTTGCTGTCACTCGGAATCGAGTATGACGATCATCCAACTATGATACAATGATATGAGTTATTAAGGATGTCATCTAGGTTGGTGAGTTTTAAGGTGACTAGAGAGGCCGATACGGGACCGGCAGAGTCGTTCACAGTAGTTGTACATGTGGAGGGCTCCATCTAGTGCGGGAAGGTCGGCGGCAGCGTCTTTCCGGTACTGGCGCTCGTCTGCCTCGGTATGCAGTCGGGCTAACTCGAAAGTAATCACACCTTGTGTGGAGCTCCTCCAAGCGTTACGATGTGGAGTGATCGTCTCCCAGGTGAGGGGGTCGATTTGGCACTTTTTCAGGTTTGTCTTAAGACTATCATTATACCTTTTCAGTTGCCCACCAGCATTACATTTACTATTCGTTAGGTGACTGTAAAGTAGCTGCTTTGGCAGTCTACTGTCGTCCATGCGGGTAACATAGGCAGGTCAGCGTAATTATTCATGGATAATGGTAGCCTCGATGCTCCTACAGTTGGTGTCAGCGAGAATACTGGCATTTGTTCTCTTGTCTTCCCAGCGAACTCGGAGGATGAACCGTAGACTACGTTAGTGAAAGTTTTCAAGTGGCTTGAGGTGCTTCCTGTATGTGACCCATGTCTCGCTGCCATATAGCAGGGTGGGAAGGACCACTGCTCGATATACGTACACACACACACACAAAAGATATTTCCCTCTGGTCTGCGTTCTTGAAATACCTGATAGATTCTTTTTCACATTTGGTCGCCTTCATCATTGAGTGCATAAAGAGTTTTCCATTAACTTCCCCGCTTGTAAAAAAAGAATAAAAAAAATCACCTGGCGGTTTGCATAATTGAAAAGAATAAATTTTCCATTTTAACTTATTTTTCCTATAATCTTATGGGAATAATTTTTTTTTGCTTGTAATCTTTTTGGAAGAAGATTTTCTCCCGTAATCTTTGAAAGAAGATTTTTTCCTGTAATCATATTGAAATAGAAGATTTAATTTTTCCATTTGTTCCTCATTAAAAAACTGAACAATGAAAAATTAAATAAATAAAATAAAATAAATAGATAGAAGGTAAAACCACATTCACCTTAATTTACCTGTAATATAAAACAAGCTCATTAACCTACCTGTACATAGTATATTAAGCAGACATCACTGAGAAAGAGAGAGAGAGAGAGAGGCATTAAAATTGTAAAGAATGAAATAAAGAAAGAAGGGAAGAATAAAAGGAATAGAAAGAATAAATTGAAAGAATAACAATAAAAGAAAGAAAGAGTAAAATGAAAGAAAGGAAGAAGGCTTAGAACGTTAAATCTTTGGTAGACCGAGAAGAGAGGATTTAGACTCGAGAATTTCCCTGGTAATGATGGCGTGGCGGCGGGGGAGGGGATGGGGGCTGGGATGGCGGCGGTGTAGGGTGGTAGTGGTGTGGGTGTAGGATGGTGGTGGTGGTGGCGTGGGATGGAGGTGGCGTGGGGTTGAGGAGGGAGATGGCGTGTGCAGCTGTGGCTTGAGATTATTCATGTAAATCTGATTATAATGCTTTCATCAGTTCCTCTCTCTCTCTCTCTCTCTCTCTCTCTCTCTCTCTCAGACCTTCCCATCCCTTAACTGGTATACTGAGTGGTTGTATTATTGTATGTCTTAATGGTGTTATTTAGTGTTGTATTTTTTAAGTTATCCCGGGTTTTAGTTTTTTTTTAACTTGGGGTCTTTTTCATCGTCTTTTTTTTCCTGGTCTTTTTGTTATTTTCTCGGCCCTTTGTTATTTTCTCGGTCCTTTTTGTTATTTTCCAGGTCTTTATTGTGTTATTTTCTGGGTCTTTTTCACCAGCTCTGTTATTTTACTTATGCTCACCTGTAAATTTTTTAGTTTCACATGTGTCAGGTTCCTTCTCTCGCCTTTTTATAGTTTCACACGCATCAGGTTCCCTCTCCCACCTCTTCCTAGTTTCACACGCACTAGGTTCCTTTGCCTGCCTTTGCACACACAAGCCATCTTACTCCACCCTGCGTCTATAGGCCCGTCAGTTCGTCAGTCTGCTGTCAGTCTTCCTCTTCGATTCTGTCTAGACTTCCTATCGTCTGCTGGCTGGTCTTTCCTATTCTCTGCCAGTTTTTGTATTGGACTGTGTTAAGTATAGAGCTCAGCAAGCGAATAGACGTGCTTCTCTCTCTATCCGTCCCTCCTTCCCTCTCCCTCCCTCCTTCCCTCTCCCTCCCTCCTTCCCTCTCCCTCCCTCCCTCCTTCCCTCTCCCTCCCTCCCATTTTAGAACCACCTCTCTCCCAGTAATATGTGAATTATGCCCATTTTTACGAGCGGCGTGGGAATGGGCTGTGGGGTGGGGTGGGGTGACGTGTTTTGTCCTCAGCTGACCCGTTCCCATGTTTTGCTCTCGTAGCCGGATATTTGATGGATGTTTCCTGGTGCCAGAGTGGGAATGACCAGTTTTTCTCGAGGATGGGGGAGGGAGGCACTGTGTTATGTGGCCTCTCGGTGTTAGGGTAATGTTTATTTGGCTCTGGGATCTGTTTCGTTCCCGCCTGAAACGAGATCAGGTTTATGTAAAAGTTATTCGACGGGTGAGATTATGTTTATTTCCACCTTACATAGAATGGTTTTTTTTTATATATATATACTTTGTT